CAGTGCCTCGGCCCTTGGGAGACTCCAGGGCTAGCTGGTCAAAGGTGAGGATCTTACCCCCAGCCTTCAGGATGCGACTTCGGGCCTGGCTGCTCACCCTCAGGGCACACACCTTCAGCTTGGGCACTTCGAGAATGCGCACATCGTCTGTGACTGTCCCCACAACCACAGCTGTCTTGTTCTCTCGTCCAGGAAGCTTCATCTTTCAGATCATCCGGGACAGGGACAGAGATGGCCGATTAGTGCGACTCATAAACAACCTCTTCAGCACAACTTGATTGAAGGTGGAGTTGGTTCTTCTGGCCAGAAACCTGTACAGCTTGACGAGCAGCCGCAGATAGATGTCTTGGCTCCTGGGCTCCTTGCGCCGAATTTTTCGGTCTTTGTTATGTCGAATGTCTACACCCATGATGGCACCTCCTGCAAGGCCAGGTCCGGAAAGACAGACCCGCTAGACTAAATATTATTAGTATCATGGGCTCCCTGAGAAATGGTGAGTGCTTTGTTCTGTAGAACAATATCTAGGATCAGAAAGGTTCAGGAGTTCAAAGGGTCAATGTGAAAGCATTGTCTACATCCACTATCTTTCTACCACTATGAGTTTTAGAAAACCAGTTCACCTCATCATACCTCACTAGTCTCTAATACATTCCTTTTCCATACTGCAAACTCTGTGTTTTCATTAGTTTGTACCTCCTTAATAGTTACCTTCCTAGCCTCCAGTCTATTGTAAATTGTCTGTATCTTCCACACTCTTCTGTGTATCCTCAAGTTTCAAATATTTTATATTGAGCCCTATGTCTTTTGTATTTCACTGAAAATTCTTTACACCTCAAGTTTTAGGCATTTTCAACTCCTCTATGACACCAATGCATACACTTGACACCTAGAATCTTTGTCATTTTGCAGGAGTAATTTTATCCAACACATATGCAATTTTCCTGCACTTCTTAGTTCCCTTCAGTCTTTTGCTCATTGTTCTTCCCTCATTGTGTGTTTATCCTTCCCACAACCTTCTCCTTTTAATAATATGCCTCAAATAGAAAATGCTTTCCAAAGACTTGAACTTTGCAAGATCCCAACTATGGTCTTATTTAGAGATATTCTGGATAGTTTGAAGATTAAACAAAACTGAAAATGGTCAATAAGTGCGTGACTCCACTGTGTAATATTCATAGACCCTAATTTTTGCATGTAGGTTGGTAGTATGTAGCCTTTATTATTGCATCTCTTGTCACTTCATGGAATGCTTGATATTGTTAAAAGCATCTCTGACATCAGGGCTGGAAAATGAGATGTTTCTATCAATCAATACCCTTAGTGCTCAGACAAGCCCAGGGGGAGAGGAGGCAGAAAGTGTGTGTCAGAGGGCATGGATACCACCAAGAGAACTACGACCTCTAAACCAATTGAGCAAAGATTCTAGCAACCCACAGAAACTGAAGCAACAAGCAAGGGGACTGAGAGGTTCTTTATCTCGTCTCATGCATATATGTATGTATGTATGTATGTATGTATGTATGTATGTATGTATCATGGCTTGTGCAGCCAAAATAGCTCAGTTGGGAGAGCGTTAGACTGAAGATCTAATGTGATATAATTTTATGCCCTTATCCACCACAGGATGAAAAAATGGCAGAGTTGAAAATAGAAGAAATAATTATCTTGATATCTTCTTCCATAACTCGTGAATTCTTTGGCCTGCCATTGCCTAACATTAATTTTCTTCATCTCCTTTCTAAATCTTAAACTAAAGTTATACTCACATACTTATATATGCAGATTCACACCTTGTAGGATAGGATCTGCACATGGAAGAGAACATGGGATTTTTTTTTCTGAGTTTGTGAGATCTGGTTGAATATTATTCATTATAAGTCCACCAAATTTTCTATTCATTTTGTGATTTCATCTATCACTATAGTTTGATAATATTCCATTTTCTACATAAACACAAATTTGATTATGGATTGATCTATATATGGATATAAATATAGGTTCCATTTCATTGCTATAGTAACTAGAGAAGCCATAAACATGATGAACACAAATCTCTATAGAAATAAAAGGAGTTTTCTGGGCATATTCCCATGAATGTAAAAGTTGGGTCACATAGTAGTTGTTTTTTTTTTTTTTTTTGAGGAACTTCAAAACTGATTTCCATAATGTTTGTATCAAATATCTTCCAAACTTTTTTGGTGAAGTTCACATTACACTGTTGCCAAACCAGATAACAACACAGCAATAGAATAGTAACTTTACATACTATTCTTCCTGATGAATAGAAATGCAAAATTTCTCAAAAATATTATTAAACAAAATCAAGATAACTTTGAAACCATCATTTATTTCCACTCAATTTTTGTATGAGGTAAGAGATATTGATAATAGTTTTGCACTAAATGGCCTGGGAAGATGCTCTGAGAAGTTGCTGAAGACTGCTGCTCCAAGCTTCAGAGAAAACAAATCTGAGTGTCTCTACAGCAACTGAAAGTAGCATACATATGTGGGAAGTTATAACTGAAGAAGTTTCCTGGTATGGCTAAAGATCAGAACAGTTTAAATAGACAAGGTCCTCCCGAAGCACATCTTCATGGCCAGCCACTGTATCAGTTTTTCTGCACTTAGAATTTATGACCCATAAGCTTTCTGTGAAATGACCAAGCATTCAGGATACTCTGGCAGAATAAAAGCCAGAAAGATGACTTGATTAAAGCTTTTTACTAGCTCTTTTGTACATAGGCAGGACAAAGGGAAACCTTGAAGCTGTAATTTGAAGAGTGAAATCATCCCAATACAGTGGGATAAGCTAATGTGGGCAGCAAATTCAACCAGATGACAAAACGCTGAGACATACAATTTTCCTTAATGATTAAAAGGGAAGACATCACCTCTTTAATTGTCTGTACTAGCTTTGTGAGGGATATAGGTTAGTAAACAACTGGATATTACAAAAATTATATCATTTATTTACTTAAGAATAAGTGAGCTTATATTCCTCATCCAAACCGGGACCTCTTAAATGTAGAAAACACATATACACTCACAGAAACTAAAGTAGAAATCACAAGACAAATATGGTCTGCTCAAAGCCCTCTACCTTTATAGGATAACTTTTAGTCCAGTACGTTACTGGGACCTGTGGATGCAAAAAACACTCGAGATTCTGATTCTTATGCCTTCTCTTGAGGGCTCATTGTTTTTCTGCTTTCATGTCTTGTAAAGCTTTGATATGATTTTTTTGTTTTATCTTATTATATTTTATTTTGTTGTGTTTTGCCGTTATCCCTTAGAGGCCTGTTATTTTTTAATGAGAAACCAGAAGGGAATGGAGGTAGGTGGAAGAGAAGGTGAGTGGATCAAAGAGAAGTAAATTGAGTTCAAACTGTACTCAGGTAATGTAGCATGAGAAAAAAAAACCAATATTTAATAAAAGTAAAAAGCAGAAATATACCATTTAACAAAATTGAAGATCACCTACCTCATCAACGTCATTCATTTTTTTTAACTGATTTTGGTATAAGATCTCAAGTGTTATACTACATTGCAAGAGGAGATGCCCATCATCACAGAATTTGTTGAGACTATTTCTATATGGTTAAGAACAGTCAACCCTTTTTTTTTTCTGGAATGACTGAAATCAAATGATTGGGGAATTATTACTGAAGATTATTTTTGTTCCTAGTGCAGGCAAGAGCAGATGTCATGAGATATGGGCCACCAGAAACACAAGTTTATGGTCAGCCATGGTTTTAGTTTGCTTCAGTTTGAGCGCAGTATACACAAGGTGTCTGTGTAGCAGACTCCTTGATAGGATAAAAACACAAGAAAGTCAGCTCTGCTGGCAGGCATTTTCTTGTTTCTTTGAAAATTATCTAGGCAAAGACAGAACTACAATATGAATGTGAAAGACCACAGTGGACCAACACAGCATGATCAGATCATGGAGGCTGCTAACACTTTCATCTGACAAAACTGCCATTCTCAGTTTCGCTAGTCTTAGGAAAACAAGATGCTGAAGCTTCAGATTTCTTCATGGATTTCTTACAGGATAATTGAGCAAAATTTGGAAGTCAAAAATACTTATATTTTGCATAGTTATAATCCAATCAGGAAAAAAATAGTTTTCTTAGCTATACAAGGTTCCCTTGAGAAGGGGAAAAATGACAAGAACTTCTGAGCAGATTGGAAACATAGAGGGAGGGGAAGGGAGGTAGGAGAAAGAGAAGGGGAGTGGGGAAGAGAACATGAGGTATCAGGAAGATTGAGCCAGGAGAAGAACAGAGAAAGAGAGCAAGAAAAGAGACACATTAATAATGGGAGACATTATAGGTTTAAAGAGAAATCTGGCACTAGGGAAATGACCAGTGATCCACAAGGATGGCCCCAATTAAGAATATACACAATAGTGGAGAGGCTGAGGCTGCATTAAATTCCCTTCCCCTATAATGAGGTTGATGACCACCTTAAATGCCACCATAAAGCCTTCATTCACTAGCTGCTGGAAGTAGAAGCAGAGATTCACAGCCAAAAACTGAGCCAAACATCTGGAGTCCAGTTGTAGAGAGGGAGGAGTTGGGAACAAAGTGGTCAAGACCATGCTGGGGAAACACAGAAATTGTTGACCTGAGCAAGAGGAATTTCTCAGACCACTGTATGACAACTGGGGGACCAGCACAGGAATGAACCAACGTAGATGTCAGTTGGGAGGCCTGGGTCATCTACTGGGCCTCTGGCATGTTACCAGTATTTATCCCTAGTGCACAAATTGGCTTTGGGAGCCCATTTTGTATGCAGGGATACTCTCTCAGTATAGGTACACAGGGGAGGGCCTAGGTCCTGCCCCAAATGATGCTGATCCCTCATGGAAGGTCTCACCCTCCCTGGGGAGTGCATGGGGGTGGGATGTGGGATTTGTGGGGGGCATGAAAGGACAGGAGGGAAAGGGAACTGGGATTGGTATGCAAAATAAAATTGTTTTTTTTAATTTAAATAAAAAATTATTTAAAAAGTCTTTTATTTCGCATAGTTATAACCGAATCAGGGAAAAATGTTTTTTGTAACCATACCAAATTAAATATGGACAAACATGAGTGATGTCTTATAAGAATAAAGGGTCCAAAACATGGAAAACAAAGAGAAGTCAGGCGAGAGATGTGCACAAGCCACCAATTGTCATTATACAAATAAGCAATGCATCCTCGCAAGACAGTAGAGAGAGTATAGAAAGCCAGAAAGGTAGACACCAGCACCAGGATGTTCTGGGTGGCTCTGGACTCAGGGGAGGATCTACTGGAGCCATGAGAGTTATGGATGTGTTGAACCCTCTGCTTGTGTCTGTAAAGGATGACTATCATGGAGGTGCTGGACCAGGTGATGAGCACAGCAATAAAAATTTCAGGGCACAATACCAATGCTGTATAGAGTGAGTCTATGATTTCATCCCACCCTACAGTAGAGCAATATCCAAAATCTCGATTTCTTGTCATGTTTTTGATATTCATTTTGATATATATGTTCATCAAGAATATGAATCGTATCAACACGGGGAAGAACCAGAGTAGGGAAACAGAGAAGTTAATGTACTTTGTAGCTTTGACTTTACAATCCTTGCAACGAGACTTCCTGGAACTGATGGTCATTGCCTGGAAGACACTCAAAAGACAGGTGGCACCAATAGACACATTTCGAGCAAATCCTTGAATGTACAATAAGAACACACATCCAAAATCATTCAAGAAATGCTTGAATCCCCAAACTGCCATGGTTTGGGGCACTCCTGCAGAGAGAATGATCAAGGCATTGGCTGCCATTAGGTGCATGAGAATCAAATCTGTGTGCTTTAATGTGTGCTCTCTACAGTAAAGGACTAGATAGTACAACAAAAGAGAGAAATTTCCAATAATTCCAGTTGTAATTTGTAATAAGATAATTATTCCAATCCCAAGATTCCAGATATTCATTCTGTGATTCAACACAATTTTCTTAAGAACATGATCATGCTATCTCTCAGGTCGAATGAATAATGCCAAATGATGAAAGCTAAGTGTGGAAGAAGATGGAATTAATCCATGGAGCTACAGAGATGATGAAGCTGAGGGTCCTTTAAACTCAGTAGATCAAGGCCAGCTCTGAACACATGAAAATCCTACATTCCCCCAAATTTTGGCAGGAATAGTTACTTTCCATGTTAGTTACTATGTAGTTTCTCAATACTCCAGAATGCAAGTGTTGATGGAAGGATAGCCATCAAGTTTCCTAGGAAGTGCAACACTCAGAATGATGGGATGCTGGAGCCATCTTTGGTTTAACCTGGAATTGACCCTCCTTTTTCTACACACTCCATGAAAAACCCCTTGTGAAAGTGCCAAACACTGTTTGTATTGGTGTTGTAATTGCCCTAGCTAACTGCAGTAGTTTTGGATTCTGTAAGCTTGCTTCCTTGCTTTTTCTCCATGCCAATTGCTATACAGGATGTTGATTTTCTGAATTCTTTACCCTCACATGCTCCTAGGAAATGGCTGCAGCAATAGAACATACTATATTACTTGATGTAATACATTCTTAGAGAGAAAGATACCACTGGCCCAAGTGAGAGCTCATAGCTTCTAATTATTAGAAATGTGTTCTTATGTGGGAATGAGTGTGAGTGGTGCTCAATAGACTTAGAAGGGGCCAACAAGAATAACTCAGAGAGAATCAGGAGGGTAAGGCAATACATGAGTTTTTAAAGTGTTCATGAGATAAGTATAAGGATGAGAGAAGAGAAATGTGGGAAGCAGAGGGGTTGGACCTATCAAAATAGCAAGTATGAAAATGACTTAAGAAAACTTTCTAATTTTTAAGCTAACATAAAAAAAAACCATTATAAAAATCATTGCAAATCAATGAAAGACAATGTTCATAATACCAAATTTATGTGTGCCTATAGAGGAAGCTGTAATACTGAAATTGCCCAGAAATTGAAACAAACAAAAGAAAAAATACCTTTATAAATTGATGATTATAGAAAAGAAAGATTACAAGAAAGACAAAAAGTGAGAAGAGTCATATTTGCACAAAAGAAAACATGTCACTGAGTGCAAGCAAAAGCAACTAAGTCAATACACTAGAGTCAAAAGATAGTAGGACACAGTAAACTAAGACATACACAACATACCAAATACCATCACTAACAACAATGGACCCTGAGGATCTGGTTTACAGCCATTTTACAAACCATCAGAGTGGCACTTCTTCAAATCTGAGTCCTCTCATGAAGGATTCCATAGCAAGTTGTAAATTAATGTACAATATTGTCTTACTGTTGCAAATATAACTGAATGATTTAAAATTCACCCAATATTGGTTGTCTTCCTTCTATGTGGCCTTCTGAGGAGTTGTTCTCAAGTGCTTTCCTACCTACAAAATATTTTGGAATATTTAAAAAAAAATTCACATACCAGTGTTTGGGAAGACAATAATACATTTCCAAGTTCATATGTAGTAAGAAAATGTGAAGTATAAAGTCATACACGAGGAAAACAAGCTATAATCTCTTAAATGTTACCAATATGTCTGATCCCTACAAAAAGGCAACATAGGTCTGATTTTGCTAAAGTATTAAGAAACTGTTGAGAATCTAACTGTATTGTTTTTGCTGTATCTATTGAATTTTGAGATGTGCTCCATGGCTAAAAGTCCTCTAAAATAATTGGGTTATTATTTTTGTCTCATTAGTTAAAAATGACATTTTGAATATAGGATATTCAACAACAAAACAACAGAACAGGTACAGAGAAAGAATAAATGAGAGAGAGAGAGAGAAAGAGAGAGAGAGAGAGAGAACACATACACACAGAATGTTTTGCTTAAGATTTTTTTAAATTAATGAAGCAGTTTTATGTACATTAAACATGGTTTGAGACCATGGTCTCAACAAGTACCATCAAATATTTGTGAACACTGAGGCTGAGTGAGGTATGAGTTTACTGAAAGGTTTTCAGAACAGTGTCACAAACATGTTCTTTATAGTTTTGCTGCCCCATCTGTCAATCATAAATGTAGGAAATATGACAATAACTAGAATGCACACTTCAAAGAATGAACATGGGAAAACACAATATTCTTGGAAATGTTTCTGATTGTTTCTTTTTTTTTTTTTTTTGAGACATGGACTCTCAGTGTATTCCTGACATATGCTATGTAGACCATGCTGATGTCAACATCACAGAGATCCTTCTTCCTCAATCACCTGAGGTTTCGGATTAAAGTCATACATCAGGATATAGCAGCCTCATTGGGAACTTTTTGAAGTTCTGCGTATCATTTTAATAGATGTATGTTATGATATCGATCAGTTTCTATGCTGCTTAACATGGAACAAGGAAAAACCCAGTATGTATGTAAGTTTTTTAAAGTTCTACTTACCTGGAGTTGTACTTACTGAGAGGCCAGGCTCATTCTCAGGAAGATGATGCCAGTGATCTTATCCTGGCATATTTGTGTGGATGTAAAGTATTTCTTTCAATTATTGACAAGATACTTCATCCTACAGGCTGCCCAATTCAGAAATGAAAGCTTGTCTTCACAGCCATAGAATTCTGGACACAAAGGTACAGTTTGATCACATCCACTGAAATTGAATCTCTTCACTGTTAAATATTCACTTTGTTTTATCTTATTAAGAGTTGCTTGTATAATGACAAATATAATTTAAAAATATTTGTATTTACTGTATGTCTATCAGTCTGTATCACTCAAATTGTACAGCCTTTGATGCCTGATAATGTCCCATGATGAGTATCAGCAACATGGACATAAAGTCCATGACCAGTGTTGAGGTCACATGACCAGACTCTTTGCTTAATAGTGAATCCCGCTGTCATTTGCTCAGATTCTTCAATCATACCTGAACGACTTCTATGATCTTTCTGTTTCTTATTTTCCCTGACATATTAGTCAGAAACAACTGCAAGACTCTAGTAACTCATAAAAGCCAGTCAGTCAGGTATTAATTATTTTGTAACAACTCATATGTGCACCCTTGTTCTAAAGAGAGGGCTTAAGATGCATTCCTCAAGTTGTCTCCTTCCAAAGTCTCATACTGATCACATCACATGCATATTTCAGCTGTCATATGATTCATATTGAGAGACTCCTTCCTTCCTTGTTCTGAATATTCCCCAATGTAGGCAGTTCAGATAAAGAATTTTGTCTAATTTTCTTAGTATCCTCTACTGAGCCATGTTAAAAAACCCCTGTCCATACTCATTCAGAGATCTTTCCATTAGCGTGGATTACAGCTTAGACTTCATGCATGTTTCCGATTTTGTCACCTGTATGCTTCACCTATCATCTCTACCTTTTGCATCCTGAGCATCATAAGAAATGGTAGGTATAACGTTTTAGTAAATACATGTATAAATAAGCAACAATGGTAAAAATGAGTCGCTGCTCATTTTTTATTTCCACTTTCAAGTCCAGCTCATATTGAACACACGGGGTAAGTGCCTCTTCACATACAAAAGCTGTTTATTTCAGAGTGCTTACTGAAAAGACTTGGAGATGACTGGCATGGTTTGAGCCCAGTCACCTCAGTCTGTGCTCACAAGGACATGAGACATGCTCTCAACACACTCCATCCAGATATGCAGTTTCTGTTCCCCACTTGACTTGTGTATACGTCATTGGGGTTATGTTATATGCTTCTGGTTGTATTAAGTTTTCATTTGTGGGGAGTAGATAGTTGTCTCTGTGGTAAAGATCACTTGCTGGCATAGCTGAGGATGTTTTTCCCCCAACAAACCCATACGGGAGCTCAAAACTGTAAGTATAGTTCCAAGCCCATATGGGAACTATACTGTAAGTCTAGTTCCAAGGGATTTGTTCACACACACCTTTCTGCCTTTTGCAGATAATGCACTCTCATACTGTACATATATACATGCAAGCAAAACATCCATGTACATGAAAACCAAAGGAGATAATAAAATATTTTCAAGTATAAGATTTCATTCGACACAAAGGGTTATTTCAACAAGCAAATGACAAGTACAATAAAAGGACTTGATATTTCACTAGACTGTAGTGTTTAAGTATGTTCTGGTGTAACTGAAAGTTTTCCCATCACCCAGTTTCATTTCAGAAGCACATGATGGACCAGATGTTCGTGATTATTCCAGAAATATTCATTGTTATACTCGAGGGGGTTATACTCGAGGGGGTAAAGTCTAGAATGGTAAGTACAGATGATTTACTAACACTATTACTTCATACAAAATGAAACATGAAATATATAAGCATGTGAACACAATCAAGTACTTAAATATTTCACTTATAAATTTGTATATACTTGCAACATGCTATATTGATGAACTGATTATAATTATATGTATAGTATACTCAAATAGAAGAGATGCATGAGAGACACCCAAAAAGATATCTAAAAATGTGAAAATAATCACTGTCCAAACTGAAATAGAGAACAAAATGCCTGTATCGATAAGGTGAGTGGTACATCCCTGAACCTCTACGCGTAAGGCTCTGCATTCCAGTAGCAACAATGATAAACAGTGGAAGCCATGGAATCAAGTTATGTTTAAAATTAAATCTGAGTAACCTAGGAGAGACAAGTCAAGACACATTTGGACCTGGATGTCATTGCCTGATGGTCATAGTGGAAATCATTCTTTTAGTGTTATTTTCCCAGTTTCAAAAGGCATAGATCAACAGTCATTATACCAAGGTTCACACAATGCAGACATGCTTACTGCCTCTTTAGCTCATAAAACTACTCTTACATAAAAATATATCACTGTAAAATGAGATTCGTATCTTTCACCTTCCCATGTTTGTTTGCTTCGTATATTTTCATTCTAATTATTACTGTGGCTGAAAATCCATGAAAATTCACATGTAATAATAATGCCTGCAAAGTTATTCAAATTTATATATCATGTGAGGTAAGATAAGTTATCAAATTGACTTATTG